TAGGATACAAACGAGGCAAGACATATGTAACTCCATTCATGTGAAACACATAAGTGTTCCTCATTCCATCATAACTTATTTTTCTGTCAAATTGCCATGATCTACTTAAGAAGATACGAGCAGTCTGCATTGGGATATTATCACGCAAGATTTTATCAGAGTAACTGTTAATAGATAAAGGAATAAGAACCTGTTTGGTTACTCTAGCTTCTCCTGCATCAGTTAACCATTGCAAACAATAAGGATTTGGATGATTAAGCAAAGGTAACTGAAGAAATTTAACCATAGCTGCACTAGCCACATTTGTACAACTTCTAGAATCTATTACCATAGCACACACATTCTCTCTAATTGACCCTTTAGCACAAAATATATTTTCTCTTTGAGACTGATCTTCTTTTAAAGGGTGAACATTCAAAACCTCCTTAACAACAAGAGTATGACTAGACTCATTATCTGCATATTCATAATCAAAATCTAAAGGTATGCATGGTTCCCCCTCAACATGTTCATTGGGGGTTTCAAAATGGTCATAAACCTCATCCTCAAATTTATATTCAAGACAAGAAGTAAAATTTTCAAATTGTGTTGTTATCTTAACTACCCCCTTGTTAGGACAATCACGAGCTATGTGTCCTCTCCCATTACATCTATAACAAATCAATTCTCTGTCATGTTGAGGCCTCACTGCCTCACTTACCTTTTCCTTGCCTTTAACTCGTGAATCATCGCTTGGAGGAGGATGTTCATCACGCTTTTGAAGGGTGGAACAAGTGTTATTCCATCTTGATGCACTCATGCACCATTGTTGGACTTGTGCATTTTCATCTCTTTGATTTTTGCCTCAGATTTACGTGCAGCATATAAGGCATTATCAAGGGTGTCATATCTCAGAGTACTCATTCCACATCAAATTTCTAAGTTCAATCCATGTAAGAAACGAGCAATAGTTTTTGCCTCTTCTTCATGTATGTTTCGCTGTTTAAGCAAAATATTTAAAGTTTGGTGGTACTCATCAATTGACTTTGTTCCTTGCACCCTTCCCTGCAATTTTCTTTCAAGATCATAGAAAAAAGATTTAGGACGAAAGGTTAGGCGCATATCTTCTCTCACTTGAACCCAAGATTCATAGGGAATCAAATTAGCAACTCTCTCTCTATTTCTTTTTCTCCACCAAGATATTGCATACCCCTTAAAAGATGTAGCAACTAGCCTAATTTTTGTAAGATTAGAATAATGCTTTAAATAAAAAAGAGTTTCAACAGCATTCTCCCATTCTATGTATTCGGTAGGTCCTTTCTCACTGGTGAAGTTAGGAATTTCATATTTAATGTTTCCTAACTCCGCATTACGCTGCTGGATCCTTTGACATCTAGGATCCACTCTTCCTGCTGGTGGCAGGTGTCGCTCATCATTGTGTGGTGGTTTCACTTACTGTGTGAGTTGCTCCAAATTATTCATTCGTTTGAGTAACCTGTTTATCTTTTGTTCTAATGTCTGGGGCAGGTTTGGAACTTGTTCAGCCATCTGTATAGGGAAAAAAAATATCTAAAAAAAACAAGAAGATGTGTGAGTAGTCACGTTAGTGAAACCAAAAAGTTGGCTCGCTCCCTCACTATTCTCAGCTCGCAGGTAAGAGGTGGATTATATGGCTCTGGGGGTGCACTACACACTCTTACAAACCCACACTTCACTCGTGTATCGCTCAAGGTGGCAGATACTCTCACAAACCTTTTTCCTAAAAGGAAAATTCTAGTCCGGAACTCAAGTTGATATGGATTCAACCTCAAAGTTCAAGAAAACGTACCTTAGAAAACTTAACAAGCCTTTGAGAGTAAGGTGTATCGCGAGGTAGGTAATAAAATTGAGAGATAGAAGCAAAGAAAAAGGATAATACAAGCAAAGAAACTAAGCAAGATTTGAAAGAAAAAGGGTAACAAAGAAAGAAGTATGGCATAAAGATATGCAAGACCAATATCAAAAGATAGACACAAATAGAATGTAAAAGGGGTTCAAGTGCACCATAACCATATAGGAATATATCAAGAACTCCTTCCAACCTTATACTTTTCCCCTTCCTTTTCCCTCCAAAATTCTCCTACGAACCAGATTCTTTCCCCAACCTTATTCTTCTTCTTCATTGCTTTCTCTTTTTTGCTTTTTTTTTTTTTTTTTTTTTTTTCAAATTTCTTGATTTTTTTGATAAGTAGCCTCCAAATAACTACTGTAAATATCAACAAAAATTCCGGACCAAGAGGATCCACACAACCCCTTCAAAACAGAATCAAGAATTTCAAGAATCACCCATAAAAACAGAACGCAACCCTAATTTCAAAGATCAATATCTCAATGAACATAAGGAATTAGCAGGTTTATAATATATCAAAAGAACTCCCCAGAAGATATCTACAACATATCAAAATTTCAGATAAAACTAACTAGTGGATCTCTAGATATAGGTCATTCTTTGAAACTGATCACAGAACGCGGAAATCTGGACAGGGTATGATTGCGACATGATTGCGCATAAATGAGCATTGGATATAGGTAAGGGTGAGATGGGGTTGTTTTCGTAACAGAATTTGTGGTAATTTGGTGCTTAGAAGGTGTGAGGTCTCGTTAATATTGGACGGGAAAAAGGGAAAACTCTTTCGGGATTGTTTTTCAAGAAACTGGAGAACATGTATCAAGATTCAAGAACACAATCAAGAATGCAAATGAAAATTTTTGGGGGGTTTTTTAATGAATAAGACACGAAAAAAAGTAGTATGTAAGATAAGAATGAGATAAACCTAGGCTCTGAATACCAAATTGATATGAACCTAGTCCAAGATTCAAATAAGATGGAATATTGTCCCAAGAATTCTCCCGAAAGTAAAGATAGAGATGTATCAAAATACCTTAAACCTCACGAGAAACACTTATTCCCGAATCCTCAAAGACTTTGAAGAATCCCATGTAGCTTCAACTACCTCGATGATGCAATCTTCAATCAACTAGAGTCGGATCTAGTTTCCTTCGATTCAAGAACGAGTCCACGAACCTAAATCTAAGGTTGAAGAAAGGAAGATTGATTCGAGTCCACGAATCAATTTGCTAGTCGAGTCTACGACTAGCCACTAATTGAGTCCACAATTAGCCATAAGGTTTCTTACACAAGTGTAAAGAAAAACTTAAGAATTTTATTGAATTAAAGCCTTGAGTTCTTCTTCATCTTTTGCATATGGGCTTGACTTGGATTTCCACCATCTTTGAACATCACCAATGAAGAGTTGCCTTAATTGTTTGGACTTGGGCCTTGTGATTGGCCCAATTGGTACTCTTAATGGATCTTCATTATGTTGGGCCGCATCATCCTCCCCTTCTTGAAAATGATTCGACCTCAAATCTTGTAAACATTGTCTTCGATCCATGATATCACTTGAAATGGGCCACTATAATACTTTCCTCTATCGAATGGGATTATTATTGGACTTTCTTGTTTCTTCCCCCAATGATGCTTGAAGGTCGTAGTTATGGGCCTTGTGATGAGCCCATTATAGACCCTTATTGGATTCCATGTGTGCTGGTTCCTATTATTCTCCCATTGTTGAAAAGGATTCATCCTCGAATCCAAATCTTCAATGAAAGACAAAAGCGACACACCATTGGAAGGTACAAAGAAGAACCTTCTTCTCGGCCTCCAGAGCTAATGACGCGTTGAAGCGAAAGCATAATCCCGCTACAAGCTGCTCGTTAGAGTCCCTCAAACATGCACCTCCCGCGGCTTCATTCGAGGAATAAGTAGCGTCTGTGTTTAGTTTGAGCCTTCTTACAGGTGGTGCAAGCCACCTTACCCAAACCGTCACTCTTCGCGGCGGAGCTACCAATCTTGTTGCCAACCCAGCAGTTATCAGGATGTGAGCACGGGAATCTTTTCGAATTGGCCGATAGAGAGATAAAAAACACTTCTTGCTTAACCTTTTTTATTAGGCCAATAAATGAGAACGGTACATCTTCATAAAGCCACAGATTATATGAGCACCACATAAACTAGAAAACAAAGCATGGTATCAGCTGCGCCATAAAATCAACCCTGAACCTGGAGCCGCCAGAAGCCACCACGCGTGGCATTTCGCCCGTATCGAACTAGCAATTGTGGCTGTCAAACCAAAAATCCCCCGAAAATGCGCCCAGACCTGTTGAGCCTTGTCGCATTTGTAGAGGAAATGGTCAATCGTGGCTGATGCATTCAAGTAGAGCGGGCAAATAGAGGGCAGGCAGTATCCAAAACGTTGTACAACTTCTGGAAAAGGCAGCAGCTGTCTAAGCAATTTCCACATAAACATGGAGATTTTCGAAAGCAACCCACCACCCAGATGCGAGACGAGGACATGCTATGGCAGGCTTTGAGTCGGAGTTTTTCATAAGCCGTGGAGAAGGTGAAGTCACCGTAGGGGGATGGCGACCAAACCCAAGCTCCGTCCAGATCAAGTGCTACATTATCATCGACAAAGTTTCTCACAAGTTGCATCCTCGTCCACGTGATCAAAGTGGTCATCTGGGTATGGCCATCGGGGTATCTTGCATGTAAAAAAAACACTCCATAGCGACTTCCCGTGAAGAAAATTGAAATAAAGCTTTGACGAGAAGGCCTTTTGAATTGAATCCAGCGATCTGATGCCTAGGCCTCCCTCTTCAGTGGGAAATCATAACTTATTCCATGATGCCCAATGTCTCTTCGGTTTTCCATTCTCCGCCCCCCCCCCCCAAAAAAAGTGGCAAATCTGGACACAAGAGTCTTCACAGCCCTCTAGGCAAGAGGACCGAGGCAGCAGTATATAAAGGAATAACGGATAACACGTGGTTGATTAGAGTTAGGCGACCTCCTAGCAAAAGTAACTTGCGCTGCCAGACGAGTAATTTACCATCAACTTTTTCTATCAGATCCTGATAGTAAATTGGCCGGTTCCGGCCCTTGAATAGATTCACACCCATACTGAAGTTGATTTTCTGTCCCGACCCCTCCTGGTACTGCGCCAAAACCTCTGCTAGGGCCCTTAATGAGCTCGAAGCCCCATTCACGAATATTACAATGTCGTCAGCAAAGGCTAAATGTGTGATCAAAGGGCAGCCTATAGCCGACGAATACGGGGACAACATACCAGCTCCCACCTTAAGAATATGGGAGCGGGATAGGGCTTCTAAGGCGAGGATAAAATGAAGCGGCGAGAGCGGGTCTCCCTGCTTGACACCTCTAGTTGGTTGGAAAAACCTGCAGATGATCCCATTTACCAAGACAGACAGTCTCGTTGCCCCCAAATTATTCATAACAATGTTAACGAAAGAACTCGGGAAGCCACGCTTGATTAGCACCGCTCGAAGAAAAGGCCACGAAACCTTATCAAAGGCCTTCATCATATCCAGCTTGATCACAATATTCAAGCCCCGACACTTCTTATCAATGTACTGCAGCAGCTCAAACGCTAGAAGAACGTTGTCTTGAATACTTCGGCCCTTCACAAATCCTGATTGCTCCCTAGAGATTAGCATTGGCAGTATCGGACTCATTCGCGATGCTATAATCCTTGTGAAAACCTTGCTGATAAAAGTGCACAAGCATATCGGTCTGTAATCTGCAAAGGAGTCCGAATTGGCCTTTTTGGAATCAAAACAATCTGCACGCTTGCCAAGGCCCTAGGAACCAGAACCCCAGCAAAGAAGTCATGTACCGCATTGAAAACGTCGTCTTTTATCACTTCCCAATAGTCTCGGAAAAATGAGCCTGGGAAACTATCTGGCCCGGCTGCACTATCTGGATCCAGCTTCCAAACTACAGACTTAACTTCCTCTTGTGAAACCGGTGCAGTCAGGGCCGATGCCTCCGTAGCAGCTAAGTTCGCTGGAAGGGACTGGAGGAGAGTGTCCATGCCTTGGTTATCTTCGGCAGAAAACAGCTTTAAGAAAAACCGGACTACTTCATCTTGAATGTCTGTCTGGGAGGTGAGAAGAGTGTCATCAACGTTTTTTACATCACATATTCTTTGCCTGCGATGCCTGTCTTTAACCACCGAGTGGAAGAAGCGAGTATTAGCGTCCCCATCCTTCAACCACCGAACCCGAGCCTTTTGTCACCAGTAACATTCTTCTTGTTTCAAGGCTAAGAGAAGTTCAGCCTGCAGTGAATGAAGCACAGTCCGGTTTGCACCCGTAGGATAATCAGTATATCTACATTCCGCCTCAGCCACTCCCATTTCCAAACTTCTAACTCGATCAAACACATTGCCAAAGACCTCATTGTTCCAATTACGCAGGAACAATTTAAGTTGTTTTAACTTATAGGCCAGAGCTCTCATGCCACCTCCGTCCGCGGGCAAGTCCCAGTTGTGTTTCAGTGATGCAAAGTTAGGATGAGACAACCACATGTTTTGGAATCTCAATTGTTTTGGGCCTGACATGGTGTCGTTGGCGCCATTGAGCAAAATTGGCGCGTGGTCAGAATATGCTCTTGCCAAAATATTGATTCGCACTTCTGAGAAAAAATCACGCATCCGTGAGTTCATCAGGAAGCGGTCGAGCCTTTTCCATACAGCTCCCGTACTCTGACACCGTGCCAAGTGTACTGATTCCGCACAACTGGTAAATCAATTAAGCTGATGTCGCTGATGAAAGCCGAGAAATCAGTAATGCTATTTGTGTCTGGTATTGAGTTGCCCTGGTACTCCAAGATGCTTGAAATAACATTAAAGTCCCCTCCTAATAGGATTGGCTTCGATTCCTCTGCCAAAACCAAGAGCCTTTCCCAGAGTTGTGCCCTCTCTACTCTCGTGTGCTTCGCATAAACTGCAACATAACTAAAAGAAAACTGCCAAGGGTTGTAAATGACGTTACAGAACACGAACTGGTCACTATTGAGTACTATTTCCACCTCAAAACAATCGACCTAAAGAATCCAAATTTTCGATTATAAGGCTGCATAGCCTCCCACAAAGCTAAATTCCCGGACATAACCATCCAACCGATCCCGAGCCGGCATAGGCTCTATTATTGAGACAAAGCGAACATGCTCATGTCGAATGAGTCGTTTGAGCCTACGCTGTGAGGAAAGTAGGCCCCTGACGTTCCAACTAAGCACGTTCATTTTAAACGATGGGAGAAAGAAACTCTAGCGATTTTGCCCGCCGCAAGGCGGGTTGTAATCGAAGGGACATTTGCAGAGTAATCTTTCTGAGGGCGGCTTTTCTTCTTGGTGACAGTAACAAAGTCATCCGGTTTCGACCTTCCAATTTTTGAAGCAAACAGCCTACTTGCTTCCTTCCACGACTCCAACAAGGAAGATTGAATGATTGAGCATTTGGAATCTCGTCACCATCAGATAGATGACCAGGTTGAGACTCCGAGAGTGAAGAAAAATGTCGTAAACACTGGTCATCAATAATAGCTACCCCCAATGATGAATTAATTTACGGGATAATTAACGGTGCTGATGAGCTATCTGAGCCTTGCAGAGCACATTCTAGGGGTTTCTTGGTTCCATATTTTCCTGACAGGCTACTGTTTGGCTGGCAGCTGGACGCCATCGCTTCCGTGGAGGAACTAGAAGTGGTTGTTGGGTCAGTTGGGGCTCTTCGTGACGAATATTTACGGTTTCTCGGCGCGGTTCGTGATGTTGTTTATCCGTCTAAGACCGACACTCTGAAGCCAAGTGACCAAATTTGCAGCATCCCAGACAATATGGTGGCACATATTCATACATGACTTTCTAAGCAAAGCCGCCGTATGAACCATTGTTGATCCAAACTTGATCCATGAGGGCGGTACTAACATCCAATTCGACACAGATCCGAGCCACAGACAGCCGTTTGTGTGTAAGGGTGGAGGCGTCGACTTTTAGAGGGGATCCAATGAGATTGGCGATTGAATATATTGCTCATTTATCCTGAAGATGCGCCAGGAGGCCTTCAAACGCGATCCACACCGGGACGACTGTAGATTCAATATCTGGGCGAAAGTTGGGTGCTCATTTGAAGACACGCATTAGAGCACCTTTGATCGACCATGTCTTCCACAGCCAGCAACGCTGGAAGTCGGTTTCATGATCGAAATTTATTAGGACATGGCGTTGATCGATCAAACCTAGAGAGAAGGCTCCACCAAAGCCAATTTGATCAAAAGCCTTCCTGATATCTGCCATCGGAGGTCTATTCTTCGCGAATTTGCCAACCAATGCAAATCTGAATTTGTGAGAAAACATATGGACATCTTCATTAGAGAAAGAAACTGCGGGCATTCCTTTGTATCTTCCAGGTGGGCGTAGAGGAGAGGGTGACGAAGAGTTTGAGAGGATATCCGCGAAGGTGCGGGGAGGGGGAGCACAAATCGCGGAGCGTCTAACGAATATTTTGAAAATAGTAGGATATGTTATCTCGAAATATAGAACTTATATATATACATTTTTTATTTCTCTTTTTTATTTCTTTTTTATTTCTTTTTTTTTTCTCAAACCTTATTAACAACATTTATTTCAGTAGGCCCGAAATTCTCTTGTAACACATCATTTAGGAATCAGGATAGTCCATTGCAAGATTCCATGAATTAATGACAGTTTTCCTAATAAATCTCCTCTTTCCATGCATCATGCAAATGTAACTGGAATTCTCTTCTTCATGTGCATATCACTTTTTCAAAATTCAAATATCCTCAATTATTCCCTCTTTATTTTTTACCTTAATTTCCTCATAATGACAGTTAATCACACTTTAAAAGCCCTACATTCCTTGTTTGTGTCTGGGTATATTATATTATATAAGAAGAAGAAAAACCAGCCAATACTCATGCACAACTCTCCCGTTACAGTTACAAGAACATGGCAGATTCAAGATTGGGCATCTTATCTTTATGCCTGTAGGTTTCCACCAGGTAACCATCTCCCCAGCCTACTTTTCAATCTTTCATGAATCTTTCATATGATATGATGTTTTTGTTTGACAGAGGAAGAACTAGACACAAAACTTTATGCCAAGAACATGAATCCCAATCCCATGAATGGTGACACAAGCAAAGAAAGTGATGGGAAGTTGTTGCAGGAGACAGAAGAAGCAGGTGGAGATGACACAAGTTGGCCGCATTTGGAAGCAAAAGATTACATAGTTTTCTGTTTATTAGTATCAAAATGCTAACCTCCTCCTTAGACAAGGTGAGTCTTAACGTACCCTTTATATATTCCACATCCATGTACATTGTGTTGTGAACAATATATAATATTAATTATATATTGTGTTTCTTTATAACATTATTTATTAATATATGTAGTAATCTAAATTGAAAACAATTTTACATTGTCCATTAACTGCAAAATTTCTAGGAAAATGAGAATGCATATCAACAAAATTGTTAGGCTTCTGAAAAAGTATATTACCAGCCACCTCTAGACAAAAAATTTAAAAATGAAAAGTCTTATGTTTCTATAAATGCTGGATTATATGAAACTATGATTTCTTCTTGAAAAATCTTTCTACTTTGCATAGAAAAAACATTTCCTACGATATGTAGAAATTAAAGACTTCAACGATTATTGGAACCAAGAGGAAACAACCATCAGTCAAAGTTAAGCTTTTTTTTACTTAATTTGTACTAAACATTGGTCATGTAACAATTCATCCTCATAATGTAAGCACTATTGACGAGAATATATTAACAGTTAAAATTACACTTTATATTTATAATCTGCTGTTGAAAGTAGAAATGTTCATAGATAGAATGTATATAACCAAGACAATTTAGGAGATAACACGTAGGTAATAGAGAAAGAGATTTTTGGATAAATACTTATCTTAGTGCGAATTCCTTCCGTTATACATAAAGCTTTTTCCACCTTATTCGTAAAAGCAGTCATGTATACTTTTTATACAGCTGTAAAAATTCAATTTAGTTTTCTGTAAGTAGTAACCTATGTTAATACAGAGTAAAGTTGTAAAAATCATAAATAAGTGTTTTAGACATATTTTTGGGTTTAAGGTTAAGCTACTAATATGTATTCCTTCTACGAATAATACCAAAAAAATCATAGAAATCCTAACCCTTATATTTATTTGAATATATATGTTTTTATTAACAATTTATAAAGTTTAATATTAATGTTTAGTCATTTTTTTAAAAAAAAATTAATATTAACTATATTTAAATTATTTTGTAATACATGAATTGTATCTATGTTTATGTTAAGTTGTGTATTTTTGAATTATTATAATGTTGTCTAATATTCATTCCGTGCAAGGTGAAAATACTAGGGTATTTGTGAATGATCAGTTGTATCAGTTACGTGACTGCATCTTGAATTAGCAATCACAAAGGATTAAAAATATTGGTATGTAGTGATTCAAATAAAGTTAGTACTTCAACTACTAACGTTGTTTATCATGAAGTTTTTTTTTTTTAATTTATAATTTTTATTCTTCTTTTTCAAAAAAATCTCTGCATTTCACATTCCTTTTATTTACAAATTTATGCAGAAGTTGAAATTCCAAGTCATATGCTACTACCTTACTCTGGTGACCATATTGTTACAATTGTACAAAGTACATTTCTTATGTTTTTGAATGGCAATTCTGATCTCAGTTATCTTCAAGGTCGTGCTATACTTGTAACACCCCCAAAACAACAAGACCTAAAAACAAGTCTTAACACATGCAGATTAACACAAACACTAGCACAGCGGAAGGAAACGGAAACTAGATAAAAGATATCCAAAACAGGGGTGTTATGCCACGTCTACCATACCCGGTAAACGCTAAGGCGAACAATCTGCAAGTGTATCACTATCCCAAAACATCAAACTACAAACAATCTAAAACCATTGGCTCGCAGGCCACAAGAACACAATCTAAAGGTACAGGCGCTAAGCTACCGGCTCTAGACATCGCGCTCGACTACTCAACACCTGAAAGAACACAAAGATAAACATCGGGGCGACGCCCGGTCAGCGAAAGATGCTGGTAACCCACCAATATCATAAATAGGTAGATATAAGATATAAAAACCATTTTCGAAACGGAATACATATATATAAGTCAAAAGCCGAGATCAAAAGACAACACAAGACTCACCACTCGCAAGGATAACACCGGGAACACATCCCAACCACAAAGGTTAACCACACACAAGGATAAAGACTCACCCAACGGCATCACATGCCAAACAACACAAGCCTCCGTGACTACACACGTCACGAGAGAAGAGAACTCACCACAACGGCTACACAAGCCCTCGTGACATCACCCATCACGAGTTGATATGCCTTCCTTATGCCATGTTCCAACCTTATGGCTACCCCCAACCTTGTACCTTCAAAGCCAACCATTACCTCCAGAAATCCCCTGTACAGCCAAGTCCAACCTTATTCCACCGGGACCGTCGTCCCCTACCTATAACCACCAACAAAAACCCACCAATCACGGCAACACATGCCCGGATAACACAATGTTATCCCCCAATCACGTGGACTCAGCCACAACTCCATAATCACGTCACGGCCACCACGAGGACCGCTGCAATACCTTGGTGACTAGCGTCCCATACCACTAATCGTGCAATCCAGGTAGAGCCACACACGCGCTACCACTCACACGAAACAATCAACAGATTGCAAAGAAGGTATGAAACACACTCGATCAAGGAACGGGTCACAACCCAACGACAACAACGATGAATAACGCAAGTTATCATCAACCAAACGGAAGGTACGAACAACACACACGCTAGCATTAAGACAACAAACTAGCATGCTTATCAACGGGGAAACTCAAGATAGTTCCGAGGAACACACAAGACACTTCTTGGTTCAACGAAACACAAAGTTGAACACTTAGCACGAATCAAGACACCAAAGATCCTACATGGATACCTACCATAAAGCTCTAGACCTACGAAACATCAAGAAGACACTCAAATAGTTCCACAAAAGAACAACGGGAAGTCAAAAGATCAAACACCGAGACAAACGAATCACGGGGAACAAATCCAGAACCAACTCCATCGTGTTCCCCGCGGGTGGACCCACGGGTAGCCCCTACCCGTGGTTCTGCCCGCGGGTACAACACCCACATTCCCGTGTACTGGCGGGTGGGCGGCGGGTAGGGCTCTCCCCGCCGTTCCGCCCGCGGGTACACGCTCTTGTGTCAAACAATCCCTTCGGGGATTTTCTTCTCCAAACACAAATTCAAGTCCAAAACACACCAAATCTCACCACACACAACAAAATGACTTGAACCAAGGAAAATGCCAAGCAATGGCACAAAGGAACCCTAAACACAAGCTCTAGATATGCAATATCACAAGATAAATGCATAAACTCTCACATTTCATAGCAAAACACAAATAGAAGCCAAGAAATCATATATAGGTAAGCAAAATAGGTTTTGTAGAGCATGGGTTACCTCTTGAAGACCAAAAGACTCTTCTTACACCACAACAAGCTCTCCACTAAACTCACTAGCCAAACCCACTTCAAGATCAAACCAAAAGATCATAAAGATCCCACCTTTAAGAAAAGACAACTAAGATGGAACCAAAAAGACTAGACAAGCTTAGATCTTACCCTTCTAGATGCCCAAATAGAGGAAAGATTGAATCTTTGAAGCAAAACTTGGAATCTTGGCAAAGGTCTCACTAGGCTTGAAGAACAAGCTACTCTTCTTTTCTAGAGAGAAGGTAGATATATTTTATAGGAATTGTAAAGGATGAAAAATGAAGAAGTCTTCTAGGTTTAGGTTACAAAACTAACTCTTGGTGAAAAGACAAGAATACCCTTACTAACTCTTAGAAAGTGTAAGGAACAAGGGAACTCCTATCAAAGCACAAGGTACAACACCACTTAAAGATTGACTAGTCAAATACTAGTCCTTGTAACACCCCAAAATATCAGAACGTTTAAAACTTATAAAATAAAGGTGAAGTCTCATTAATTCCCAAAAACGTAACATAAAGAGTACGGGGTGCTATGCCACACCTGAGCTAGAGAACTCAGGTGCACAGGCCAACTAACTAATATCCTTAATCAAGTAAATGCATAACATGGCACGCAGGCCGAAAAGGGGAACTATCTACTTCTACGCTCCAAGATCTAGCGCGCTCCAGTGACTTATTCTTCTGTGCCTGAAAGCCAAATATATCTGTTCAGCGAGAGATGCTGGTAACCCACTCTAACGCGTTGAAATACAATACAATACATACATATATATATATATATATATATATATATATATATATATATATATATATATATATATATATATATATATATATACACATAGATATACGAAAAGTCATTTCGAAGCATGAAGATATATCCTAAGAGACTCTAGCTTTCAAATCAGGGAACCGACTCGACAAATAGGGGTACACACAATCTACAGTCATAACCAGCATATACAATTCTCACATAGGAAACAGTCATAGATAAGCACAACCAATAATCACAATTAAGCATTTCTAGCAAGAGCCCTATAACAGTCACAACATCAATCCTTCTTATCTCATCATATAGCACACTTTGTTGGCGCCACAGGACCAATCGCATGCCCATACATGAGGGTCAGCGCATATAGCTCTGACACGGCCCCGCAGCATCCTGCCCCGTCTCACAATACGGAGGGGTCGATCGCAACCGACCGATGAACCGCAGTTCTATATAATATTTATATACCTGACCGGTCTTTACCAGCCTGGTTAACAATTGGGATGGTTCTCAACCCATTCAACTGCCTGTATAGTGGACCTTTGTCCTATATAATATTTATATACCTGACCGGTCTCTACCAGCCTGGTTAACAGTTGGGATGGTTCTCAACCCATTCAACTGCCCGTATAGTGGACCTTAGTCCTATATAATATTTATATACCTGATCGGTCTCTACCAGCCTGGTTAACAGCCGATATGGTTCTCAGCCCACCCGACTGCCCGTATAGCCCGATTGGTCTCAACCAAATCGGGGTAACATGCACACATAACACATAGCAAGCACATGCAACCCACATTAACACATTGGGAAGGGGGGAGAAAACGTATAGCAAAACCTATGCGTGATCCTTCACATACTAAGAATAGTCCTAAGGGGTTCATACTCCTTTCACCTAGGTCAACGGGATACCAATTCAACTAGCATGCAATATATAAGACTCATACGACCTACGAACGGTACCCGAAAATCAAACTAGACATAGGCACGATAGACGGAGTCCGTTGGGACACCACGGGGGTCGGGGGAACATCAAACGGGGAAGCCGGGATCCCGAAGTGGGGTACAAACCAGCGGGTAGCCGGTGGGTGGGGGTCACCCGCCGGCGTTCTACTATTCCGGGCAGCTGCCCGCTGCCGGCGTTGCCCAACTAGGCCATGGGTAGGTGGCGGGTCCCTACCCCCCACTGACTCTTATTCACCAAAAACGCCCCGGGAACCTTTGTGGAACCCGAAACCATACTTAGACACTTTTAAACACAATTGATAACACACGTAGACAATTAACGGATCAAAATCAAGAAACGTATGGCGCATAACCTATCATGCTTTTCTAAACATAATCAACACCCAATCATGCGAATTCCCACCCAATATACCAAGAATAATACCATACGGATTCCACGATATAACCTAGGGTTCTAATTATTTTTAAATCAACAAGAACACAATTCATCTTCCAAAATCAAGATTCGGTAGGAATATCATATGATCATCAAGAATCTCATATAATCATTAAGAACATCAAGATCACCATATAATTATCAAGAACGTCATATAATCATCAAGAACACCATAATTATCAAGAACGTCATATAATCATCAAGAACACCATAATTATCAAGAACGTCATATAATCATCAAGAACACCATAATTATCAAGAACCTCTCCTCATCAAGATCACCCATGGAATTATCCCACCAATCATCAATAATATCACACATAAACAATACACAATATTATGGGAAAATCCTAAGAGGGGAATCATAGCTATGAAAATAGGTTTTGTTGAGACATGGGTTACCTCTTAGCCTTAATTAATTCCTTGGCTATGAAGGGTCTTTCTTTAAGCTTTCTTCTTTCTTGATTTCTCCTAAGGGGATTCTTGGAACTTCTTGTGTGGTGAGAGATTATTGTGGTGAAAGATCTAGGTGCCTTCTATATCCCTATTTATATATTTAAGACTCCTAATTAGGGCCTGAATGGTATGGGTTTACTAATTATATTCCTTATAGGACTAAGGACTTGTTTTAGGGATAAGGGTCCATGGTCCATAGTGGACCATATTAATTAATTAAAGAGAATCCTAATCATAATCTGAATAGTAAAAGGCCTACTTCCTTTATTCCTAATAGGCCTAAGACTCTCATTTAGGCAAGGGTCCACGGTTCATGGTGGACCTTATTAATTAATTAAAGGGAAACCTAACCGAATTAAATCATATTTAATTATTATTAACGGGATTAATTAAATAATTAATCCGGGATTGAATGCCGTAACACAGGGTGTTAGACTCTCCCCCCCTTACGAGAAGCTTCGTCCCCGAAGCTTAGAAATCATTGCAGGGGTAACGAGTCAAAGGTAGTACGGTGGTCCTATAGAGAAAGTATTCTGCGGGGAAACTGTATAATTGTATGTCTATGTGTGCTGGGTTTTTGGGAACGATTAGGTTTAAAGGGTTAAGAGAGTGGGTTTCAAACCTAAGGACAAAGTGAATTTAGGAATTAGGATCAAAGTTTTCAAGGTTGCAACTTAGGGTGTGAGGTTGCCACCTTGTATGGAATCGTTAAAATAGGGAATCAAGAATGTGGTTTGAAGGGTAGAAAGGGTTTTGAAATAAGGAGGGGGCCGATTTCCCGAGGGAGGGAAAGGAATTCGGCTAGGATGGGTTAAGGGTTCTCGATTTTAAGTGACTATTCTGGTTTGATGCTTTGATCCCGACGTATTGACGAACTGATGATCCTTCTTCCTTGGTGTTGGCACTTGCTTGACTTTAAGATCCTTGTTAGACCTTGCTTCCCAAGCTAAAGTTTCATCCTTCTCTCCTATCTTGAGGGAGTCTCCCGTGATGATTTAACACTTACTTCGTTAATGCGTCCAAGGTCTTGACCAAGTTTGGTCAACCAAGCCGATCTCTTAGGGCGCACTTCCCAAATTCTTCCCAGAGTCTCTTGGGAGTCGATAAGCTTTGGGTTGACTTTTTCTTATTGAATTTCATCTCTTCTTTAGTGAGTGAAATTCTTAGTAAGACTTCATGTCTTCTCCGAGGTTCGGCTTGTTGTGCCCTTTTGTGTTACTTTTAATGATGAAGGTGTCCTTGCATGCTCTTTTTCTTCTTGAAGCGCAGTTGGTTACCTAATCTCGTTGTGGAATGACTCGGTGAGTTTACGAGTCATCTCATTTCCTTGTGGGTCCTTAATGACCCTTGAGATCTTGGCACAAATGTGCTCTTTACTTTTTGCCTAGCACCACGGGCTACGTCGTTCTTGATTCCATACAACTTGTAAGGAGTTCTCTGATTTGCTTGAACGATATCCATGGTTTGGAGGAGTCCCGATCCATCCTTAGCATTTTGACTTTTAAGGCCTTTGTGAGTCCTTAGCACGAGTTCCCAACTCGTCTCCTTGGTCTGCACAATCCTTTATGCCAATCATCCCTAGTCGGTTGCATCGTAGAATCCAACTTCAACTCCACGTGTAATGCAATTGGTTGTGCCTTTCCGACGGTGTCTTGCGTGTCAAGGTCTTTTACTGATGACACCATGTTTGGGCGACCCATGGTTCCTTACCCAAGACTCGCGTTCATCAATTGAGGCACACAAGTGCGCCACGAATCAATAAAACGAGGGGTTAAGAAATCAGCACATTGTACCAGTGGGCGCGAGGTGGGCGGTCGTCCGCCTGCCAAGCTCCTGTCAGGGACCCGTCAAGGTCCCACCAAGGTCCCGTCCACGACCCGTTAGGGTCCCATCAAGGTCCCGTTGGGGACCCGTGGGAAGGTGACTAGGAAGAGTGAATTTCTTCGGGAAAAATCCCAAAAATGCACCGCTTCAAGTCCCGACAAGCCCCATGCCCATGTGCACAATAAAAAGGTACTTGAATACATAGGATGACCCATCGTATAGTTTTATTGATCCTTAAGTACGAGTTATAGATGAGTCAAGACTCTCGCATGTTCTTTCCGTTCAGTAGGTCGGGTCCGGTTTCCAATTAGCAACCTCGTCACCTTCACCGGGAAGTTGGTTATAAGCCAACTTTGTCTTTTCCTTGCTTGATTGATGACAAGCCTTCTTGGTTTT